CCGGTTTTTGGAGTTAATTAAAAGTTGGCTGAGAGGTTCTCCTCTCCCTTTTTTCCTCCGCGTCTCATCTTGAGCCTGGATGGCAGGTGTTGCGGAGCAAGTCTCGGCAGCACCCACGGGATACCCTTACTTCCTTGCATTCGCAGGTCTAACTTAATCTCTTTCAAACAGTGACAGCAGATGGGCAAGACTCTGACTTGGGCAGACACCAGGGCAGCTAAAATTACCAGACAGTATGTAGACAACATGCACTGTCAGTAACCTTAGCTAGAACATCATTAGGAGAACTACATACATATGTTTTGAGCCTGTATAAATGAAGGAGTTTCTGTCAAGACAGCGGATTTGTGTTCTTCAACAGAGGGATATATTAAGTCTGTTGTAAAACCACAGTATGTATTCCAGAGGTGGCTAGCAGGCCCTCTTTGTGGTCCTGTGCCCTTGTTTCTAACTCTCGTGGGGTCACTTCGCCTCTCTTCATCCTTACTCTTCCTCACGAGTGCTGAGAGCCCTGGGCAGGGTCCCTGTGTACTGAGCTCGGTGTCGAGGCAGCGCATGTTGATAAGCACTTCAAGCAGCAGCTGGACACTGTATTGACTTGGTGGAGGAGGGAGAGAGCGTGAGTTCCTCAGAGCATTGCGTAAAAAAGCCAGAGCAGATGCTCCTGCGTTAGCTCTGCTCCCAGCACGTTTAGTTTTCTTCAGCAGCTAAGAAAGCCCAAAACTTAGAGCTTAAAAAATTGAGACGCTACCGAATCTACAGCTCCAGAAACCTAAAGCCTCCACTGCATACACTTAAGCCAAACCTGTTTTCTAAGAATTAATCCAGATGCTTTTTTTCCAGAGCTTCTCATGCCCTAAGGGGGAGCCCTGAAGGAACGCCTTGGGCACACCTGGAGAGGTGCAGTAGGGGCGTGAGTGCTGAAATGTAACGGTAGAAGAGTTAACCAGTGCCACTAAGAATTAACCAATATCCTTTCGATCATACTAAATCATAGAACCATAGAATGTCAGGGGTTGGAAGGGACCTCCAGAGATCATCTAGTTCAACCCCCCTGCCAGAGCAGGATCCCCTAGGGCAGGTCACACAGAAATGCGTCCAGGTGGGGTTGAAAGTCCTCTGGCTGCCTGTGAAGTGAAAGAGTGCTTCCTGGTCATTCTAACAGTGCAAAGCCTTGCAATTTGGATATTAACGCATTCTTAGTAACAAAGATTGCATCACGAGTACCAAATAGACGCTTGGTAATACGGCATAAACATACAGGATGGCCAGTCACATCGGTCAGCTGGGAATTCCCCAAGATCAGTTTACACATTATGAAGTAAGAGTTTTATCTAACGGAAATAAAATACGAGGCTGTGTTTTAAAGTTTTGTTATGTTTGATGAGGTATCCATATTACTCTAACTAACGTATCTCTCGATCCAGTAACATAACTACCAGACGTCTGAACACCACAACATACTGAGTAAACTCCGGAGAAATAATTCTCATTTGCGTGCTCTTTGATTTGTTTGGTGTATAACTAGGACTGGTCGTATGATATAGATGGATACATACTTCAAAGTGCAAATGAAACAAAAAGCACTGTATCACTTGACTCTTGTTGGATACAGCGCTGAAATACTGAGCTGGAAACTGGACTCAGAAGAATACATGAGAGTTATTAACCTTTCAGAGGGTTTTCAATTCTGACTTCTTTTTAAAAAAACAGCTGTACTTACCGTTTTGCCTGAGGAGAGAATGCTGGATTTTGCCCTGGATGATTTAGGTTCATCATAGCTGTAGATACCAACACTGTCCTATGAGGAGAATAGTCTGTCAATGCAAGGAGCATGTTAGATTTTTTTATACTGTACATTTGGCTAACTGTTAAACAGCAGGCGTAATAGAAGGCTTAATATCAGTTACATGTAAAAATTGGCTTTCTTTTTTATGTATTTCCAGATTAACTTGGCAGGTGAAAAATCAAGAATATTTTCTTGCAAAATTACCTTTAACAATCATCTTGAGTGTTTTCTCTTCTTGATGGTAAAAGCTGCTTCTTGTTAGATAACCCAAGGTCTGTTATGAATAACAAGACACTGGTGTTCCTATATGCAGCTGTAAATCTAGAGGAAAAAGGCAAACCAAAATATTTCGTGCCATCTCTAGCTCTGTGTACATGAATGAATTCTTCTCCTGTTGTCACTAGGAATTCTGTAAATATAGAAAGAGGAGTGAATCCAATTCTGCCATCGAGATCTTAGAAAAGAATTTTGTTCTTCAAGTAGTCCCTTATTCAAATATTTAAATAGAAATATTGTCTAACAGGTAGTCAGGAAACACTGCACTGATTTCAGTATGTGTCATACAGGACTGTACGCAGTAACGTACAATAATAAACCTATTCTGGGAGATGACATCTTCAAAATTGCTTTCTGGTATGTCAGGAATCACTTTAGTATGACTGCAGTTGATGCTTCAAGTGAAAAGAATAGTCTATACAAAAGCCTGGTGAAGAACAGAAATAAACAAAATTCCAGACTCTATCTGGTTGTGACAGAAAAAAAATTATAAAGACAGATGAACAATGTGCAACATAACTGCAGTACTGTTATAATTAGCTCATTAATAATCCTCTATTGAGAATGACAGCTCACTCTGTAACATGAGTAGAATAAATTTTCTTTGTAATTTACTGCAAAGTTACTGCTGAGAAAGTAAACAAGAGGCAAAAAGGAACACACAAAACCAAGTTCGAGGTTAGTTACTTCATCCCTCAAGTTATTTGGCAATCCTTTGGCTTTGCAGTTTTATAAAACACAATTTGAACTACCTGGGCTCGTCACTGAGGGTTCTGTCTATGGCAACAGTCTCTCAGGGCACGGGAGAAGATATGATAAACATGGCAGGTTCACTTGCAGGAAGGTATTGGGTCTCGCGCCGTGAGACTCGCTCGATCATCACCGGTACGTTTCCCTGAAACACAGTAAATAGGGTTATCGTTATGTCACGATTCATATTACGAAGGTACAAATCAGATAATCTCACCCAGAGTTAAGTTGCCTTATAGTGGACATGAGACCTCACAATGTCTCATTATCACCCACCAAGCACTGCCAGGTCCTCGGGCACAAGCGATCCCACAGAGAGCTCCATCTTGGCCAGAAGCAACAAACACCCACCCAGTTTTTCCCACAAATTCTTAACATGCACCACAGGGACTCGATCCCCTTCGACTGGACGGGAAGGCTCTGACTGAGCAGAACCAGCACGACTGACAGCCCTAGGACACCCCAAGAGAAACACAAAAGAAGTTGTGCCGCTGCCACCAGGGTACGGGGGAAGAGAGAAACACAACCTGTCCCATCGTGCGGGGCCCCTCTGCAGCGTGGGAACACGAGGCCACAACTCCAGCTGAGGGGAATACCACAATTAGCCCAATGGCATCACCTGGCCCACCCTCCTCTCCCCACGGCCACAGCTGCCCCCGGGCACCACCTGGGCAATCAAATCATGCATTTAGGTTAAACAATAAGCATACGTACGCCAGTTTTAAGCAGCAGAGAAAATAAACAGGGTCATGCACTCAGGCATCACTACAAAATGTTGGGGCAGGGATTAAAACGGATCCACCCCCAACTGGCCCAGCACTCGACCAGACGTGCAGTCCCTGGGGAGCCCCAGTGGTGGAGAGGACTCGGAGTCCCTCTCCGGGCACTCGGGAGGTCCTACGAGGGGCACCCGCTCCCAAGTCACTGCAAGAGGGTCCAGATTTATACTGTTGAGGAAGCAAGCTTACAGCGCTTCAAATGTGGGAACATCTGGTGCCACCCTCCCTGCTGGATGCCACATGAACCTGGCTGCAGCTAAAGTCATTTTTTTGTCTGAGCGTTAACTTCTGCGCCTCCCGGATCCCTAGCGCGGGTGCCACGGCTGCTCAGGGACACCTGTCCCCCTCCTTTGCCGACATTATCCACTTCTTTGGAAAAGAATCCTGCTTTCGCCTTACCTGCCTGGCACGTGGACTCTGTCAGACGGTCAGTGGTTCGGCCACTCCAGATCTTCCTGGTGTTCCTGAGGCCCTTGGCAGAGGTGGCACGGCGTTTTCGACCGCCTCCGGTACCTCCTGCAGCACGGCTTGTGTCTGCAACGTAAGAACTTGGGCATCCAGACCTTTGCTTTCCGGAACATGAACTTGAATATTTCCTTTTTCAAAAGGAATTGGCGCATTCCGGTTGCTCAATAGCGACACCGGGCAGCCTGGTACATGTAGCAACTGACGGGGTAACACCTCTAAACATCAGCTGGAAAGGGATATTCCCCATCGCATCCACCCCTTTGCTTTTGTTCTGCTTGCTGTTTCAGTGGTCAGGAGTACTCGGAAGGGTTCTTCCCGGGCACGAGTCAGAGACTCCTTCCTAAATAGCAGAAGGGTTCTAGGACTGTGCAATCGCTTCTGCAACACCCCTCACGGGGTGACGGAACCGCAGATCAGAACTCTGCACTATCTTCGCGGCTGTGCCGCGTCTCGGTTGCTCAGTCCACCCACACAAGCGTCAAATCCAAATCACTTTTCCACAAACACTTCCTTTTAAGCACACCCAAGTCCGATAATGCCACAAAGTACGTGTTTGCAGAAGTACGTAGCTCAACCCGTGTCCATACCAACGTACTAAATACCTGTTGGATACGGTGCCGTAAAGGACATTTCCTATGACTTACAGGGACCCCCTTACGACCGGTCCCAGATACCAGAGTGCACAAACACAGTTCCAGAACACAAACCGAGACATTCCCACAAGTTCCAGAAGAGAAAATTTTCAAGAATACCTTTTCCCTTCAGATGGTCCTTGTCTGCTGCCGCAGCGATCCGATCGAGGCGAGGAGGCCCTTCGGGAAATCCCGGGGGTGCCGAAGGCAGCCCTGTTCTCAGCAGGCCCTGTGGCTGAGCTGAACGGGTCCCAGCGGTGGTGCCAAACGGATGCCGCGAAAAGTTGAAATTTGGGCTCGATGGTCATGGCGACTGTTGAGCAGCTATCCTGGATCGGAGCCCTGGACGCACAAGGGATCACGCCGCAAAACGTACCTGCCGTAGAGAGTCAGATGCATAGCTTAGAAGCAGGTTATACGCACACATTCACAATATTTCTGAGAAATTACTAACAGACACCCTATCACAGGGTATCACCAACTCCCGCATGCGCATTACAGCCTCTGGGTGGGCCTCAGAGTTATCTGCTGGTCATCTACGTCATCCTCCTCTTCACCACCATGTTCTTTTGAGGAATTATCGCCCCTACTCCCTTGCCCGTGCCGACAAGCAAGGTCTTGAGGCAGCCTGTGCCTGTCTCTCTCGTAGCAGCCTTGCATTCCGTGCTCGGAGATGAGTCCCGCTCAAAGCGTGACAATGTGTGTCTAGAGCCAGCTCACAGGTCATTGCTGCTGCTTCTTAAAAGCCTTGTCGCTACTAAAAGAAACTTATTCTTCCTTGTTGAACTACTACTCTTTGTTCTGGTTCTGTCGTGTTATACCTATGACCAGCTCTTTGCCACCTGCACTGGAGGCACTTGGCTACCTTCGAGAGCAGATGCATCTAGCATCTCAAGTGTAAATACTGTAAAAACAACAACAAAACCCAATATGTTTAATTTCTTTTTGATTTCTGTGTTCTGTACCTCTTAAGAAGCATTTTTTTTCCTCTTCGTTTAGATGATTCCTTGTGTTTTTCGCCTGCAAATTTGGTAAAGACCTCTTACGAATTAATAGAACTACATTCAATGTTTTTCTGTCTGAAAACAAGTATGAAGAAACTCATTCTTTGGCTAAAAGAAACTGCTGACATCTGTGACACCCACAATATTAACAGGGATCAGAGCAAAACCTATGTAGTCAATGTTGCTGTTTTCCGATTCCCTTAAATTAGATGGAATTTTGTGAAAGATAAAAGCATAGCACTCAGATATTTACACTTTTTGCATCTTTGGGTAGAGTTAACCACATTTAAATAATTATGCATAGTCTACACATACTTTTTTTCATGTAGACCTTTTAATTTGTAGCATCAGAAGGATCAGAAATGTGATGCAATGTCAGTATAAAAAGCAAAATATTTTCCTGGTGTACAAAATGTTACCTCCTTCTGTGGATCACTGTGTTAAGCACGGCAGATGTGCCAGAGGGCTTCTGAGAAATAGCACAAAGACGGAAACAGATGAAACAGAAACACTCTCTGCAGAAGCAGGTTCCGACTCTTCTCTGTGGGATACATTAACTGAGCACTGGAATATCCGAGAGGCTTACTTTTCATTTTTAATTTTTAGGGTCAGTGAGACTCCAGGGTGGCAAGACTGAGTTTGAAGGTACAGTGGAGGTTTATTTGAATGGAATCTGGGGAATAATCTGTGGGAGCCACTGGGACAATAATGATGCAACAGTCATATGTCGACAGCTTGCACTTGGGTAAGTTTTGCATCTGAGTCAAAATCAGTCAACTTATTGTAATCATGTTTCAGTACAAAGGACAATCTGTACAGTTTACTTTCAGAGGTGCACACAGATAAGAAAACCCAAGACGGAACAAGTTTTGCAGCTTTACATTTTCATGGAAATGTTTTTGGTAAACCAGAATGGACTTAACCAACAGGACCGTTCAACATAATTCGGTCATTAAACTTAAAATAACATCTATAGTGGTACTGTAATCGCGAGATGAAACTGTGGTCATGAAGAAAATGCCTGTAGCAAAAGAGAATTTTAAAACTAAAATGCAATTTCGGCGTCTAAGAAAATCAATACTGTTTAAGTTAGCAACCAAATTACCCAAATATCCCCCCTTAGCACCCAATGCAGTCTGCCCTTTGTCGGTAAGCCACGAAGTCGGGCTGGTTTTATTGCCTTTCTGACATTTCTTTCAGTCCCATCCCCACGTAGTGATTTCGTTTGCTACATGCAATGAGGGGCTTTGACATCACACTTGCGCTGTGCCATTCCTAACGATTATTCCACTTGTTAAGACTGCTAGCCAGAACTAAATCTAAGCCGTTTCATAACGTTCAATACTAATCTGGGCACACCACGCCAGCTTCTAAAAATATGAGGATTAGATGAAATAAAAGTTCAGCCATCTGGAGGCCCTGATTTCGGTTGTGACTTCAGCTGTCGACGTGCAATGTCTCCTTTCCGTACATTCGTTAAGTCCTTTTTGCCTTCCATACCCTCAACATTTCAGCTGAACGAGACTGCTGTCAGCAGAAGTCATTCAGCGATACGGGTGAACGGTTTGGTCTTGCCAACAGAGAATCCAGGCCAAAAAGCCCCAAGCAAACCGCAGTCGCAAGTTTCTGTTCTTGTGAGTGTTTGGCAGAAATTTAGAATCATAGAATCATAGAACAATTCAGGTTGGAAAAGCCCCTTGGGATCATCGAGTCCAACCATTGACCCTACACTACAAGGTCACCCCTAAACCATATCACCCAACACCACATCTAAATGACACTTGAACACATGCAGGGGTGGCGACTCAACCCCCTCCCCAGGCAGTCTGTTCCAGGGTCTGACCACTCTTTTCCAGTGTCTGACCACTCTTTCTGTGAAGAATTTCTTCCTAATGTCCAGCCTAAACTTGCCCTGTTGCAGCTTGCCACCATTCCCCTGGTTCTGTCCCTAATTCCCTGTGAGAAGAGACCAGCACCAACCTCTCTACAATGTCCTTTCAAGTAACTGTAGAGCACAATGAGGTCCCCCCTCAGCCTCCTCTTTGTCAAACTGAACGATATACAACAAGGTGACCTTGCTAGATGTTTTTGATGCTTTTCCGGTCCTTCCACCTATCTGTTCTTTTGATTTTTACAGTACTTGGGCTTTGTTTCTATTTTAGTTTTGTCAGGCATGACATGGAAGAAAAGATGGCTCAGGTATTGCTGCCGTAGATTTGAGTATGGGAAGGAAAAGAAGCTGTTTGCGAGTTTTTGTGGTGGATGGAAGAGGCTGAATAGAGAATAAAGGGCACGTGCCTGATCTAAAGGAGCGTGAGGGGGTTTCGCTGCACCTTGGTCACAGCCACATTGTATGACGTGTGTGGGCAGAGCACGGGTATATTTTAATGGAATAAAGGAGAGGACAAGGGGGAATGGCCCATTGGCACTACCTCTGCGTGCAGTGCGATGGTACTGCAGGCTCTCTGCTCATTTTTGTAGTGAAGAACTGGGAGAACGGGAACGTAGCCGGCCCTGCAGCAACACGGGCCACTCTGCTAAACCCTCCCACAGCCAAATGGTGAGAACTGGGTCACATCTGTTACTTTTCTTTATGCAGAAGACAATGCTGAACTGTATGAAACTGTTATGAATTTACACTGCTGATGAAAGCCCTTTCTTTTCTACTGCAAGATTTATACAGGAGAAAATGTTCCGCTTCCCCTCCTCCCACTCTAACGTCCTCTCCTCATTATTATTCTTGCAGTGAAAAAGGTACAGCAAAACACATACCGTTTTCTGGACTGGGCCCTATTCCCGTTTACTGGAGTGAAGTGCGTTGTCGTGGCGATGAAGAAAATATCCTGTTGTGCGAAAAAGACATCTGGCAGGATGGAACGTGTCCTCAAAACATGGCAGCTGCTGTCACATGTAGCTCTTCCCTGGGTAAAAAAAAATCAAGACGTATGGTTTGGTTAACTCTGTACCATATTGAAATGCAAGTAGTAATAATTACTCATTAAATTAGAAAAAAAATATTAAGACTTCTTGGAACAGGAAAATAAGACAGATTGAATCGTGGTGTCATTAACTGTTTTGAATCTCTCTATGCTGTCCAGGCAGAAATTTTAAAGAAGATGATAAATGGCAACTAAATGGGCAGATATGCCATCAGGTTTAAGAAATCGCTGACCTTGAGGAAGACGAGGCTGGCAGCGCTTATTACAAGACTGTTGTCTGTTTCAATAATGCTGGAAGGAAGCTGAAGAGTAATTTATAGGGCAGGATATCTGCAATGAATTAAGTTAATCTTGACTTTGAGCAGACCAGATGAAGCTTTCCATGTTTTGCAGGTTCTACTGCAGCTAGCCTTTTTATGTAATTACAAAAAACCAGATTTCATACTAGTGAAAAGTAAGATCAAGTTGCAGAAAGGCCCTCAATTGTCTTTTTTTTTTAAAAATGAGAAGCAAATTAAATAGTAGCATTAATTGGTTGGAAGGCCTACATGAAATTAATCACATTTTAAATCATTCTCATGTTATATATGGTGAAGCTTGAAAATAATCTTTTTAGAGCAATTATTTTTCATATGGTTTTAAGCTCTTTCCATTATTACAGCTTTATGCAGAAGTGATGCTTTCAAGACAATTTCTTGCGGCACCAGAAAAAGGTTAACGATTTGAAAAACCCCAACCCCAAAACCTACCTCAGAAGCAGGAAGGGAAGGATACTTGAAAATTCAAGTGAGCATCCGCAGTCAATGAGGTTTCACTCCTCTGACTGGACGTACCAAATAAGAAAACACAAGGATGAATTTCTACTTCTGCAGCAATGAAAGAACTTTTGCCTCTTCCTTTATATGTGACCCTCTGGAACCAAGCTGATACAGAGCCCTTCTGGGTAGAAATGCAGCTTTCCTTAGTGTTGTTTTCAGTAGCTGTGAAGACTTTGGCACTTGAGTAACTCAACATCATGATGGCAACTTGGCTGCGTAATAATCTTGAGCTTCCGAGAGCGGAACTTAGTCGAGCTCATTCCTAAGAAGTTTAACTTCAGGTTTCCCATCTAACTAGAAAAAATGCAGTGCGGTTCTTGAGCGATGCCAGAGAAACCATTAAGCCATCTACTTTCTCTGGAGTATCAGGATAATGTTGTGGGAAAGAAATGACCTTTTTCCTGTGTTCTGTGTTTGATCGCAGCCCGTGTCCTGACTCCGGTCCGGCTGGCTGGTGGGAGCGACGCTCACGAAGGCAGAGTAGAAGTTTACCACGCTGGCCAGTGGGGCACTGTCTGCGACGATCAGTGGGACGATGCAGATGCTGAAGTTGTCTGTCGGCAGCTTGGCCTCGGGTTTGTTTTTCTATGTCTTTTCTACTCCAGCAGCAAAGCGGGACAGTTAGGTCCATAGCCTGGAGATGGCAAAAGCTGAGAATACTAAAACCGAATAATTTTTAAACAAAAAGCAAACCACAGGTGATTTAATTGACCTTTCTTGCTGTGCTCTTATTTAGTAAGCGCTACCATCAACACAGTGTGTACCATGAATTTCCACAACTTGCCTTTTGTAGAATTTTTCTGGTCCTAATTTAATATTGTTATTTTTCCCATACGCCTTTACCGTTTCTCAAGAATTTATATGATTGCCAATTGCAAATTTTCTATTGTTTTCCTTTTTAAAGTAAGATGGGAGAGAGATGATTACATATTTATACAAAGCACTAGCAATGAAATTCACATCTATTTAAGTCCAGACATGGATTAATGAGCCAGTGCCTCAGAAACATGAACCACTGCAACTTAGGTTAAAAGAAAAATAAATCACAGCAATGTGCTCTTCTGCTAAACAGTTGCAAAAGCCAGTGAAGAGTTGGAATGATTACATCCCAAAACCAAAGAGTTAAGACCTGTCACGTTTTCAGTATGAGCTGAACTTACCATTCCTGTTAGGTGTGGAAAACTCTCCTCAAATCAAAAGAATAATTAGTTTAGAGCACTGCATGCAAACTCTATGTTAAATAATTTAAAGGAATTCTAAGATCGGTAATTCACTACGGAAAAAAAATTTAGACAGACATTTCAATCTTACAAGTTGAAAAAGAAGACAGATACTGAGAATACTTGTATACAAACCAGACTAGATATATGAACAGAGAAATTACTGAGTGGAAAAGCCAAACCATGAAAAATATTTCCATATGAAAGGCACAGTATCTATTTATTAAATAGAACTGGAAATGCCCTGATAGAGCATCAGGGTTAAACACTGCATAATTGCTGTCATGCCGGAACAATGGAGTGTTTTCAATGTGCATAGGTTTTTCGGCTCTAAATCCTCTATGCTGACAGAGAGAGTACGGCACGCAAGGCTAGTCATGGCTCTGTTTTCTGTTCTTATTTCTAGGTATGACATTGATAAGTCACTTCAGAGCTCTTTTCCAGTGGTTCATACATGACTAAATGGCAAACAATCATTTCTATCTGCCTCATCTGAGTATTTGAGACTTGATTAATGCGCTTTAAGGACAGATGAAAGTCACTGTAGAAATAGATATCGGATTATTTTTACTACGTATAAAAATTAAATAAAAATTAAAATTAGAATCCTCATACCCAAGCTGTACTTCACTAATCTCCTTGACGAAACTTACGTTTAAATACCAAAAGGGGCAGGAAAGGAAAATCTCACAGATTTGTGGAACCACATCACATTTCACGGCATAACGCTGGCCGCATTGCCGGCTCCCAGCACAGCGACTGTTTCGGCAGTCCCACTTGCTGTATTAGAAGCCGAATACGCAATATTTTAGCTCTTCGCACTGATCCCCAGGCTCTTCTGCTTCCTTATTCCTGACTTGGTGCTTGTTACGTGTTGACAGGGGTGTTGCCAAGGCGTGGAGCCAGGCTCACTTTGGAGAAGGCTCGGGCCCCGTGCTGCTGGACGAGGTGCGGTGCACGGGAAACGAACTCTCCATAGAACAGTGCCCAAAAAGCTCCTGGCGAGAACACAACTGCGGCCACAAAGAAGATGCTGGTGTTTCCTGCACACCGCTCGCAGGTAATTAACTGCCAGTTGCCAGGCAGGGAAACAGTGACAAAGGCAGAGCCCACAGCTCTGGAAAGCGGATTTTGCGTTTGCGGGGGAATAAAGCATTCTGGCAGTACCAGGATGAAGCAGCCGTTGGCTGGAGAAGTTTGACGGGTACCAAAAACTTCATTATTCAACCCAAGATTGGGTTCCATAGTACCACTCTCAGTGCCACTTTTGCGTGGGGCGTGCCTTAAGCGGGCATCGCCTCCGTCAGCGGGAGGAAGCACCGCAGAGTAAAAGCGATGGGAAGTGAGAGCAGAGACAAAGCAAGACATAAGGTCTACGGGCCATGAAATCAGAGCCCGCTCCTGCGGACTTGGCACGTCATAAGGGCTTGGGGGATCCCTGTCTTGTGCTGTTCTCTTGCACTTAAGCAACTGCATGACACACCACTCCATGGCTGAGCAGGCGCATTGGGGCATTTCTTTCGGCTTCTCATGAAGTGACCCCTAGAGATCAGCACGAGGTGCAGTCGCCTAATACTCCCATCAAATGCAGTACATGCAGCGCTATTCGTTTTGGTTGAGAACAATAATTGAGCTTAAAAAGCCCCAAGTGATTCTTTTTATTTCTTTTTTCCTGACTTGTTAACGACACAGATGGTGCACTAAGACTAACAGGAGGGAGAGGCAGTCACGAGGGACACCTGGAGGTCTATTACGCCGGGCAGTGGGGCACAGTCTGCGATGACGGGTGGACAGAGCTGAATACACAGGTGGTTTGCCGGCAGCTGGGATTTAAGTAAGACTACTTGATGTCAGCTATCTGACTCTTTGGCTTGACAATGATGACCAACATTGACATGAATCCGACATTATTCAAGAGTCTTTTTGATATTAGCCGAGTGCTTCATAGAAGCACCGAGTTCAAATCCATACAAGCCTGCTTCCCTCAGTCTTGAGGAGGTATTTATGGCCTCAGTTCAGATGGAATAAAAAGCTTCAACTGAGGCTGTGATTCAGCAGCCTTTGTTCACTGAGTTCTTTCCCATCACCTCTTTGGCTGGGATCGATATGCTATAGAGAACAACTGATCTGCTGCATTCTATTTTGCCTGGAACATTTTGATTCTTCAAAACCTTGGCTTGCTGAACAGTCGTTAAAAATCACAACATTAAGTCCTGGATCTAGCTCATTCTGGCCCTGTAACACTGTTATCTGCTGAAAAACATAGTCGGTAAAAATCCCATTAGAGTTTCACACATTCACTCTTCACGGTTTTTCTTATCAACTGCAGCTACACAGATACTCTCTCTCTAAACGATTATTGCCTTGCCTTCAGATTATAGCAGCTCACATTCAAAAAAGAATTTTATCTCATTTTTTCCCCAGACTGTGACATTTAAATGTATATATAATAATAAGAATGTGCTTTAAGTCTCCAAGTCAGTGAGACAGCCACATGCTTGGTCGAAGTCTTAGTCAAAGATATGACATTCTCAAGTTTGTATTCTTGTAACAGTAATTCCTTAATAAAAACGTTACCAAAGCAGCAGCATATGGTGCTCTCATAGAATTTAATGCTAACTGAACCTGCTCTGTTTACTGTTACTACTTGAGAAACCTTTATTTCTTCAGAAATATTTTTTTTTCCTTTCTAGTGCTTAATTACCACATGCCCTCTGATCACTGGTGACCAGAATGATTTATATACCCGTGTGTGTCATGCAGGTATGGAAAAAGCGCACCTGCGAGATACTCGGGAGGCAGCTCTGGGCCCATCTGGTTGGATGATGTCAGCTGCTCCGGGAAGGAGACAAACCTTCTGCAGTGCTCAAGGCGTGAGTGGGGAAAGCACGACTGCAACCATCAGGAGGACGTCAGACTCATTTGCCATCCAGATAACGACAGCCATAAACCCTCCCTTGGTAAGGCATCTCCTGGGTAAAGGCACACGAGCACTGCAGTGGGTGCAGATCTGAGCAAAGTACAGGATACTTAAGGATGCTTAAAATCTTAATATTTGGCAGGTGTGGGCAAAGAAAGAACAGGACAGGAAAAAAAACAAACCCCAAACCAAAAGCTCACTTTTCTCCTGCAGATCATAGGAAGTAATCAAGCTCTTTTTAAAGGAACATAAACAGCCAGAACATTTAAGATCAACATAAATTTCTAAGGTAACAAAGTTGGTCTTCACCAGATTTCAGACCTATTCATCACTTTGTGCACTTCACTTGGAACTCTCCAAGCTCTAAGTAACCATCTCATGCTATCAAAAGTTGGAGACATGCCTGAGCACTGAGGAATACAAATCAATAGCACATCCTACCACAGATATGCTGACATTCAGACAACCCGAAAAAAGAGACAGACAGAAAGAGGGGAACTTCAGAGATACCAAGAAGGAAGGGTGAGAAGCATGAAATGATTTCTTCATTGCTTTTGCCTATCATTCATGTTGTGCCTGGGGGAACGGGTCCCGCTTGCTCACCACGACAGAAGGATACCACAAACACAGGTCAAAGAGCCAGTTCTAATATCAAAAAGCCTACGGACCTGTATGACGAAACAATAAAAACATAGATAAGAAAGGATGTGAGAAAAAAATACTCATTACACAGTGGCACTGCAGGACAAAATATATACACATTCATTCTAAAGACCGTTAAATCCATGTGTAAATAATTAAACTAGACTTCTGGCTCTCAGATACGTACAGAAAAAATGACGGGGGAACAATGGGTTGCTCAGCACTCAAGAACAGTTTCATCTGACAATTTGCATGGAAAAGTTTGCAACTTTCCATTAGGTAGCCTTTTAGAAAATTGTCGCCTCTATTCTTTAGTTTAACCAGGTATATTTTAGTCCATTTTGAAATTAGAATTATAATGAGTGGAGTTAGATTGACAGATTCCACTGAAATGTCATGGATTTGTATACCCGGTGCCCGAAGCTCTCTGGAAACTACAGACCAAAGGTCTATCTGCAAACTACAACACGGATTTACTGCACGACTTCGCTACCTGCGCTTCCAAATTTCCTTGTCCTGTCTCTCCCTCTTTATAGTCTTTTTCCTTTATAGCACTTTGACCTCTCACAATCCAGTGAACGCTTTATGTTGCAGTACAGTTCTCTTAGGTGTAGATGATGTCAGATCGTATAGGGGAGAAAGAATTTTCTCAGACCAAAACCAACAGGAATTCAAATCATGACTGCTGTCTTTACAGATGCAAACCATCTGTGCTTCTTTGCTCAGATTCCTATGAAAAAATAATCTTAGCTGAAGGAGGTCTAGTTCAGTTAAATGCATCCATATGGTAACGTTCTCACAACCCCCATTACCAGAAAGTTAGATTAGTTGTGTATTCATAATTTTTTTTTCCCTAAAACTCAAGAGGATGAGATTACAATAAAATAGCCATACTGCATCATTAATATCCCAAGCCTCTAGCTGGGTAGTATAGATTTCACTTAAATCATATTCTTCCAGAATAACACATCATGTCAACAACAAAATGATGACAGTGTATCTGACATTTCCTACAAGATTTCTGACTGGGAAGCAGACAAAGACTCTATTGTTACTGTTTATTTCCCATTGTCTGAAAAAGCCTATTTTCTCCCTGTAAGGATGAAATCAGTAGAAAAATATGAGAAATCAATAGATGATAGGACTTGAGGAAATACTTTCATTAGTGTATTCAGGATTACGAAGTATGACATACTACAAGATTTAGAAGGTGATTCTCACTGAAAAGTTATAAAGTGGCTGCAGATGAATTTGCAGCTGTTTTAAAGCCAGTTGCATCACTTGCATGCTACAAAGGAGTTTTAATGTGAGTAAGAATCAAACATGTACTTTGCCTAATGGTTCAAAATTTAACTCCAGGCCAAGCACCGAACAAGCCACGATTAATTCAGTCTGACTAATCCACATACGTGAGATTTTTGTATAATGAACCTATCTGAATAAGCAACCAATTTATATTGCTAGAAGAACAATTGTGCATTAGTCTAGGATAACCTGCTGGAGAACACTGTGATCATACAAACCCACCAGAGAACAACAGGCGTAACAGTAAGCAATAAGTGAATTTTGGCACAACGCTGCCCTGTTTCCCTCAGACAGGGGTTAAGAGGAGTGGTACCAATCGGTTTGAGAATGGGTTTAGGAGCTGAACTACAGTTAAATTCACCCGTAAAGTTTCTACAAGGAAAACGTGTCCAGCTTGCATGGCTGGCATCAGGTGTTCTACGCCATTAGGGGGAGAATTTTCTGCTGCCCATTATGGTCAGATTCTGAGCTATGTCACATATTGGTACGAAATGAAGGAACCAGATCAACTTTTAAGTTCAAATCACAGTAGTATTTCATATTGGTCTTGTAATTGGTACAAACTGCTTCCTTTTGCCAGCCAGGAAAAATACAACTACGTAAACAGCTGACATGAAGCTTGTTGAACACAAACATCAGTTGCCCCTGTACAGAGAATGGGATGAAAATAGCTATGTCTTGCTTCTGTTGTTGTGAGCTGACAGCAGTAATTTCTTCCCAGGTCCTCCCATCAGGCTGATGGATGGTGAGAATAAGAAGGAAGGACGCGTAGAGGTTTTTATCAACGGCCAGTGGGGTACCATTTGTGATGACGGATGGTCTGATAAAGATGCAGCTGTAGTCTGTCGACAGCTTGGCTACAGGTAAGAAAACTCATTAAGCTGTTTCTCAAGTTATCTGTCTGCTGCATCCAAAAATGTTAAGTTTCTGCAGCTGAGTAACACCAACATACGTCTGATAAGATAACACAGGCCTTCTGAAACTTGTCTGTTTGGCATTCTTTTAGAAGAGTGTATTTCTGGTATTTGTCTGAGAAGTAGCAGGCTATATCATCAAAAGGAGTATTCATTAACTAGCATAATCGGGTAAAGGAATTGTACTATTCAAACATCATGTGACCTGCTCGACAGTAATCTGAATAAACTTCATTTAATATGGGAATAGACCAGTCAGGACAAAAACCACCCTCTAATTAAAACCACTGCGGTGTATACGTGTCACTTTGCAACTAAGTCGCTTAATCTCATTTATAGTCATCATCGCTCATAAACAATTGTTTTCTGCAGGCCTAAGAGCAGTAAAGATATAACAACTATAAAGCAGACGTAAAAATAAGCAGACTAATATGAGCTGAAAAAGCCAGAACAGTAGTAAGGAACAACAGGAAATTGTGAAGTGTCTCCTCTGAGCGTATCTGAAAAGAAATTTGAGGTTAGAAAATAGTTTTGTTTACTCAGTTGCACTCATTGCTCTAGAACATGATGATTTTCCTATTTTTTTGCTGGTCGATGTTCTAGTTAAACAATATTTTGCTTGTGTTTTGATTTTTTTTTTAAGAGTTTGTCAAAAGTTAAGGCTTTTCATAGCAATCAGCAGCAAACTGAGAGATTACTGATGCAGAGTGAGAGACGGATAGCTCTCATACAGAGGTATGAAGAGTCCCTGTGGTCCAAGTCCCACGACGCAGTTGATGTCAATGCATGACTGCAATCCATATGCACTAAGTTCCCTCCGTCATCTTTGTCTCCCTACGCCGCTTTCACCTCAAATACCTGCATATGCAACCTCATAGATATCAGAGTATTCCTTGAGATTTATCTGGTAAGGCAGTGCCCTATGAAGTAGCTGGTAAGAATCTGCAGAGACGATTAAATACTGAACTGCAATAAATACTTCTCTGGAAAAGGCAAAGAATGCTGTGGTCATTCAAAGCAAACTTGTTTTCGATATCCCGAAGAACTTGAGTGCCATGCCCTAAAGCGGAAACTTGATTTGTGATATAGAGATACCAAAACCAGTTAAGAAGCTGCAATGAGTGCCTGTACTGTGTCGCTATTTTGTCACAGCACACAGGGACACATCAGCTGCCCATTGGAGAGTAGGAGATTTTGTTTTGTAATTATCTGTAATCAGAGAATCATTCACAGAAGAAAAATATTTGGAGCACGAAGAGACACACTGCTTGTGACTGACAAGTTAAATTAGGTAAAGGCTGTCCTATACTGGTTTCAAAGTCGGTGAAGGCTTTGGATTATCTGCTAAATACATGCTTGCCAAGGAAATTAGAAATGCATAAGGACAGTTGACCTTGTGGTATCACCTCTGTCAAATGTTTGACGTGATCCTTTTTCCTGGCTTTTTACAATTCATTCATTCTAACCAACATTACCTACTTAGGAAACCTGCCCGCCTACTCTTAAAAACATGGGCAAAAAATCCCAACAGGCGAGGCTGCTGGCAAGTTCAAAAAAGGAGGAAGCTTGTACGTATGACTTTCATGTTCCCATCATATGGATATGGGCAAGAGACGGCTGACTTGTTTGAGTTTGATCCAGCCACACCTCTAATGCGGCGAAGCTTTGATAATGGTAGGAGAAATCAAAATTCCTCCCGCGCAGAGAATCCCTACCTGATCAAGGGACGTAAGCCCTTGGTGCCGTTCTCACCTATCCTCCCCAACACTGCCAGTATTAAAAGAGGTAAAAAAATTCGTGGAAAGGGAGAGGAATACTTTGTCACCTAATACAGTTTCATTGGTTAACTCTCCCTACTCCAACGTTTCATTGTACATGCGGTTACCCTGCTGTACACATAGAAGTACTGTGCTTTACTATATGCAATTATAACATTTTATCAGTACGTTCACTATCTCCTTATTACAATGAAATATCAGTATATTAGGCTTAACTCATATGTAAACTTGCAGTTCAGACACACCTGGAGGCAGCTGTGGCTTCCTGCCCACTTGTCTGTATAACTGCTTAGGTGGTCTCTCACTTAGCATTCCTTCCCACTCTTAAACTGTGAACAACAAAACATCTATTATAGTTTTTATATATTACATATATATAATATATAGAAGCATTATCTTAAGTAATGAAAAGTAAAAATCTATCACAAAGTTACCACCTGAGATGTTTACATGCACAAGACGTGGTTTTTTACTGCCTTTGTTCCTCCTGCCCTCATGTTTGCCCACGGCAGCGGGTTCTAAGCAGATGATCCCCTCAAACACCAACCATTCTGTCATTCTATCCACTCCCTGATTTGGGAAGCAAGTTGATCATTCAAAATTCTGGCACTGCAGTCTCTGTTCAATCTGCCTGGTGCTACATACAAGCCATGAAGATCAGAAATGCAAACCCTGATAAAACGCCCTAAGTTTGACATTTAAAAATTTCGGTTTGACAGTTATCATTACACGAGCAGAGGATTATCACACTGACCTTCTTTGCAAAGTGCCTCAAGGCCAATATATAAAAAACACTACGTGAGCACCCAGTAAGGGATCCTCCCAGGGAAAAGCGGTGCCAAGACTGAGCTGCGTTCAGTCTTTCTCTAATTACACTTGTTCAACGCCATCGTGGGGTGCACTTCAAAAACGGCATTAAAATCCAATACGTTAATAACCATTAACTACTAATTGATCTCCAAGTCCTAGCTCCGACTACACTGCAAGGACACTGTATTTAACTGGCCCATATTTCTGAGAGAATCAGAAGTTATTTTTAGCATTCACAGATGCTGATTTTATATGAGGATTAAAGAGATTATGAAAAAGCAGCTTTCATATATTTGGCTTAACAGATATTGGTGATGCTGTCATAAAGGAATTTGCATAGTGCCTGCTATCTAGTACATAAAAGCACTTTTTAAACATTCACGAACTGTAGAAATTTTGTTGCACTTTTTTTTTTTAAATATTAGATTAATACAGGCAACGAGAAGCAAAGTTGTCATCAAATGAATCAGCGACTGGACTTGGAATAAAACCTCAATGTCTTTCACTACTCACTCCAAAATTATATCAGCTGAGTAAAATGCAGAATAATGCCTCGAAGTGATTAATATGAAAAATATGTGCTGTGTTTCCAGAGGTCCGGCTAGAGCAAGGACAATGGCATATTTTGGGGAGGGCAAAGGCCCGATCCACGTGGATAACGTGAAGTGCACCGGACACGAGCGGTCCCTGGCAGACTGCATTAAGCAGGACATCGGGACGCACAACTGCCGCCACAGCGAGGACGCCGGCGTCATCTGCGAGCAGCTGAGCAAGAAGAACCTCGGCAACAGCAATAAAGGTGACGGCTCCTTGTGAATGGCAGAGCTGCGGATGGGGAACGGTCACGGTAGGAAGACACGGACACCAACAGTGCCACCACAATGCCACCTTACAGAGGAAAGGGTTAGATTGAAATAAGGGCAGCAACAAAGGTGGTGGGAAACGCTCTCTGCTTGCACTCTGTGATCTTGCTGCTGCACGGAAGAACTATAAAGACTATGCAGGTGATTCAGGGTATTTGTCTGCCATGGTTTACGGCACCCATGGAACATGAAAATGCAAACAGCTGGACAGCTACTCTGAACTTTTCAAAGTAGAGGTTATCTTCAGCTGAGCACAGAGACCTCTGTGGCGTGCCAAGCCCCGCTCGCACTTACGTGAAGCGAGCAAGAACCCTAGCAGAAAATCCTACCCTTGGGAAGCAGAGCACAAATGTGTCACTAGCTCCTTACTCACAGTCAAAAATAATCCCGGCTAAACAGAATTTCTAAGAGAATTCAGTGTATCTTCCCCAAGCAAAATGTGGTTGTTAAAAACCACCATGAAACACAGAGTAATGCCTTCATGTTGGGGTGGTTTTTTTTTTTGTTAATTCAGTGAAGATTGGCTACTTGTCATATTGAGTTTAATGCTGTCTACATCTTCTTTTCTGGTTTAGATTCTCTTGCTTCTGTTTGTGGATTGAGGTTACTACATCGTCGACAAAAGCGAATAATTGGTGGGAAGAACTCTTTACGGTAAATATTTGGTAAAGACAAGTAACTTGGAATATAAAGCTTCTAAGACATATATTTGCCCTAAGTGGCTTGCCTAATTTTTTTGGCTGAAAATATGCAGATGCTCATAGGCTTAGTCCTTGATTGGGTTAAACTTCTTACATGTTAAATAGCCATTTTACTTTATTTCAAAGGGCATCTTGGTATCAGGATGCGAGCTATATGACGAGAGCTATGAATACAGTACAAGGTTTTAAATGGTACCTACAGCAAATAAGAAGGCCTAGAGTTCATTGCCTAAGACCTGATTTTCTGTCACAAAATAAGCCCCTCTTACGATGACACAGCTAAAAATCAGGCTTTTCTAATACTTTTTTCTTAGCTCTTAATGAAAAGTTAACAGTATAAGATGAACTAAATACTGCTGCGACTAAATGCTACACTAGGAAGTACAGGCTTTATTTCTTAACAGTTGTGAGTAACCACGAGAAATAGATATTCACAGACTTAGAAAAGGGGTCGTAAAAAATACACTTACAGTATTATTATGTGTCACTGCTCAAGCTAATTCAAAGAGCATCTCTAGATGCATTTCAAAAAAGATACTGCCTAACTGAAAGAGCTTCTAAGAGCAGTAACAAGAAAAACATTGAAAGGCAGCCAGACAGAGCGAAATAAGATTACTCCCCTTAGCAGGAGATAAATGAAAATAATAAGTGATACATTAAATAGATAAAGATCAAGAATTCTTGTCTCAGAATATGTGTACAAAGGACACTGGATGAAATAAAACCATGACACAATTAAATCAGACCAATAAAATTGATCTTATAATAAACGAGCAGAAGGATGTTTGGATTTATCTCACGTTTTTGCTTCACCAGCAGGGCACTTAGAAATGCTTTAAAATCAAGAGAAGGAACTTATGAACAATATCAGAAAAGGACTCGTTGTCACGAGAAATCATTAAGAGAAAGAACGTGCCCAAGTTCAGAAAGGAACAGGACACGTAGATACGTATCAGGAAATGCAAAGCTCTCCCAGTTAGCCCAGTTTGAAAACACATGTTAAATCCCGTCTTAGAAATCCCTTCTTATACCTTATGGGAAGTAAATTCCTCAACGTTCCTAGAAAACATTTGGCACTGGCAACCCCGACACAGGATGCTGGACTAGATGACCCTGGGCAGCTCTTTTCCTCCAGCACACCTACTCGAGTTGACAGCAGCCAGAAAACACCTAAGCCTGCCTGTTGCTTACAGGAGCATCTTCCTCCCTCTCCCTTCTCTCTGACTCCATAATTTGCTCATCTATTGTAAATTGTATTGGTCTACCGGGTATATTTTTGATACCTTCAGTGAATTATGTCAATATTTTACACAAGGAAGGACTTAAATAAAACACAGTATTACATGCTGTAAAAGAGATTCTGTTCTTACGTGCAGGCTTTGATGAGTTTGTCCATTGTATGGAGAGGTTTTAAAAGAAAAAAAAGATAACAACGATCCATCAAAGTTATCTGTAAGTCAGGAGAATGTTTGAAATAATCCATCCCGTCTTGATCGGCCAGCAAATACGTATCCCAGATTTACTATACAAAACAGGCTGAAAAAAAGGTGCTAATATATTCCTAGTGGTTTCTACAGTTGCTTTAGGCCTCTTGGTTTGCCACCTTCCCTCTTCAAACAGCTCAGAACTGACAGAGACATGAATGCAGACCGGAAAGGATGCTGGGTTAAGCTTTTCAAGAAATTCCCTTCTTTCTCCTCTGCAGTTGACAGGAAATGTCTGGTTTGTTGACTTGGACAGTATTTGGCAAGGAACCCATAGAATGCGTTTTTGGCACGACAAATGCAATGCGAGAAGGGAAAGTTAACAGAAGTGACAGTGAGAGGAAGCGCTCAGAACGCTGGATGCCCAAACAGTCTGTAAAGTAATGCTGGGCATTGCAATTCTGAATGCTGCAGGAATATAAAGGTATTCTCAAACGTTAATAAATAACACACTTTGCGAGTAACAGCCAAACAAAACAGGAGTTACACTCAAGAAAACTGAGAAGCTACCTCACTTTGCCTTTGTTGTACCTTGAACACCATGCCTCCTGTCCTCTGCAGGGGTGGCTGGCCGTGGCAGGTCGCGCTCCGACTGAAGTCATCTCATGGTGACGGAAGACTCTTGTGTGGTGCTACTCTGATCAGCAGCTGCTGGGTCCTCACTGCCGCACACTGCTTTAAAAGGTACGTCTTTCTTCAGTAGTGAACTCTGTCTTCCAACTATGCTGTTGCTCTGGGTATAGGAAAAAGCATTGCAGTTGAAGCCCACTGAAAACTGTTCCAAAGAGTTGGCCTTTGGTTTAAAAGAAAACAACAAACCACCAACCATGCAACCTCCTTTCCCTCCAAATAAAAAAATATTCGCAGCTTCAGTATTTCCATGAAAAAACACAGACAATACTCTGACATTTTAAGGCAGCTTTCTGTTCCAACAGAAGTGCAGCTCAGGGCTTTCAGGTTAAGCGACGAACACTGAGCAAACATCACACACAGGGGCTGTAACAGTCCGGATTATTTTGGTAACGATAGATATTGGCAGCTACAGACATTCTGACTGTAGCACTGCAGTGACTACGCGAACCGGTCCCTCCAGACCCACTGGAGAAAGCAGGAGAAAGCACTAGTGTGTGTTTTGCTGAGTCTAGCAAGAAAGTCAATCAGCACACTTGGTATTAGCGAGACCCAGCTGGTTCACTTATTCTTCACAAATAAACTAGAGCAACTGCCTTTGTTATCTCACAGTACGTAAAGAATTGTGTCTTCTGCATCCATCTAAACAAAGGTCCCATCCCCTTCTACAAAGAAATAACTGTCTAAGCAGTTATACTGCTGTAATTCCCTGACACTGGCATTCAATAGAACGATGCCAAATTCAGCTCCTTTCCATATGTTTAGCAACTGGTTTGCAACACACACTCCCTCAGAAATCACATTTGATCTACTTGGTTTACCTTGTGCAATTCTCAGTATTAAGCTACTGTCTAGTCTTTTCCTAATTTTGCAGAAAAAGATACTCTGTTACTGACAACTCTCCTATTCTGTCTTTATGACATCTCCTCTTCAGTAATTCTGGCATCAGCAATTCACTGCTGATAAAGTTACTGTAGTATAAAAGCATCAACTTTCACCGTAAGGAAGCTGGTCTAGCGTTTTGAGCTTTCAACAGTAATTATTTTTTTGGAGTCCTTACAAAAAGTTGCATTATGAGCTGGAATTAAAGCATAGAACAGCACTGCAGTTTTGAGGATTTTTGCTAGAATTTGGTCAAGTGGTCTGCAAATGTGTTAACTTTGGACTTTGAGCCTTTCCTTTTGCACACTAATAACTAAAAAGAAGAGTCAGGTATATTCTTACTCAAATGGCAAGCGTTACCTTGGCTTAGCACCAGGTGCACATCTCAGCCTGTTTCATGTAAGTCACAAAGGGCTTTTCCTGGTAATATTTCAAGCTGAGATGGTCAAACTTTATGAAATTGCTGCCCAATTCAAGTGATGCCCTAGTTGTTTCTGTGGAACTATAAAAGCACTTCAGTTGCTGCCGTCAAAATTTAGAGACGATGGCTTCCTACTCCTGTGTTCATCACCTCTGTAGGGATTATTAAGGATTCAGCTTAAGCTCTTGGGAGAGCCTGTGACTGAAGGCTTGACAAGAAGGCAGTCCTTTTAGCTATTTTACCCCAAAGGTCCTCTTGAAGGCAAGAAACGGGAAGGTCACAGGAAGCCAGTCACATTTTCTGCCTCCAAATCACTGTCTTGGTTACCCAACTCTTCGCCTTACTAGAACATTCGCCCGAGGTTTCGCGAAGTGAGTCGCTGTGCCGCGCTGCCGGGGCGTTCCTAGAGCAGCTCCAGCCGCCTGTGGGTGCACCGCTGCTGGCTGGAAGGGAGAGAAGGCACCTTTAGCTCTAATTTAACTTTGGACAGACTGCCCTGAACTTCCTAATGGGCTCCGAGGGATTTTTGGGGGCTAGGTTTCCAAGAGCTATCTATAGATCAAGCGCCTTCTTGGCATGTTTTCCACAGACAGACAAGAGAAAGGCCAGTGTACCGTTTCCCACATCCTGGAAACCGAAACGGCGCTCAAGTAACAGAAGTGGGCTCATCTGTGCTACGGATAAAAAACAACTGCACTTTTATGCCTGAGGATTAGAATTGTTCGCCTGCAGTATAGCAGCATTACTGGTTTCTTTAATTTCATAGACACCCAGTTAAAGATCAAGATGTTTTGAAGCTCTTCTCCCTTTTATAAGCCATCCGTCTTATTAGCAAGTTTTGTGCTGAGTGGTTCTGACAGCTACTGGGAATTTGCAGGTCTATACATTAAAAACAAATAAGAGCTTCGGTTAATTAGAAATATGAGACATAGAAAAAAAAGAAAATTATAATGAGCATTACGTCATTTTAGGAAACACTGTGTTACCTGAACATTTTACTGTTCTAACAATATAGCTCTTATTTAAGTGCTTCTTGAAGCTTGCCTGAATGCCCATATATACTTCAACACAGTCCTGGTTGTTTTGAGCACAAGGGAACCAAATACCTAGTTTAAAATTCAGTTTTCTCAAATCTGGCATGAATGGTGAGATTAGTTCAGGTGAGCCTTGAACGTCAGTACATTTACTTGACTGGCAGCAGGATGGCATTAGCGTGGTGGCCGATCACGAAGCCATCCTCCAGTTGGCAGGGAACTAAACCTTCCAGGAGGTGCTCAAGCCAACATTGCTCCAGCTGCACTAGAGCTTAAAGGCATGGCCAGCCAGCCATCCAACAAAAGGGCAACGCTCTCCAAGCATCACCATTTTCCACCCATGAAGCACTCCCAGATTCCTCCTCTGCCTCCACTCATCAAATGATGTGTGTGAGTGGGATGGTTCTCTGCCATTTCAAAGGAGACTTTTAGGTGAGGAGGACTGGACACCCTTAAGCTAGATTACTTTGCCTTTTTTATGTGCCAATGCTCTATTACAGTATTTCCACATTTAGCAAATACTAGCCCCAACAGGTGAAGAAATACGATTGTCAACAGATGGAAAAAAACCACCAAATAGTTTAAAAAGCCTTATGTGCATAGAGATACGGTAAATCTGCGCCAAGACTACTATGAGGCTTCTCACTAGAAGCCTTGTAGCTATTAAAGTTTCATACATTTGCACAAGCAGCAGCACTTCTCACTCTATTAAATATTTAAAATGAGTAATTATAATTAAGACAAGCTTTCCTGGATCTCCTTTCTTCGTTATTCTGCTACAAATGACCATCATCCGTAACACAGAAAACCATCAGGAACCTATTAAAGGGAACACTGTTCCTTTACTCAAAATCAAGGATGTAACATGAAATAGAAGCAGCAAATTTTCTACTGTACTATCTGATATCTGGCTGTCAGGAGCACTCTCATTATCACTAAACAGCTTTATGCTTAGGCTTACGAATCAAAACATACAATTAAAAAAGAATTTTCATTGATTATTAAGTCACTTTAGGAAGAAAGTGCATTCATTTCCCATCTCAGTTACAGATACCTAATGAATCCGTGACTCTCCAGTACTCTGACTTCCATGAAAAAAAAAATGATGAAAAAAAAGCACACAACCCCTGCCCCCCTCCAAATTGCATTAAATATAAGAGAGAGCGTATATGGTAAATCCTGTAACTGGTGTTGTGGATAAGACCTATAATGTAAAATGCAGAGACATCCATTACATTTTAAAAAAAGAGAAAATAAAACCCAACAAACAAGAGGAAAGATTTATACATGGACCGTGTCCACTTCAGAGAGGGGCACCAGCATTGCACGGTCAGCATGTAAAACATTCTGTAGTTGGGTGTTTTATTCCTCTGGTTACGTTTCGCAGAGGAACAATCCATTGGTTGGTTTACACAATAAAATGAGCTACCAGGGTCTGTCAGTTTGGTCCTTAGTGTATCCAAACTATTTTATATACCATGGCAGCATGCCTTCTGCCAAACAGTCAACATCATGGGTATTTCCATGAAAGAGGTGGCCAAAGGGATCAACACGCCTGCCTTTGATTTGGTAGTTTTTCCTGCAAACTCAGAAATCTTTAAGCTGTAGTCCTAAGACGTACACCACCGGCGATGTTATAAAGACTCCACGTGAAGAGACAAACGACCATTTAATATATATAAATACTGAACTGCAGATGCAACTTTCTGCAGAACAGAAGGTTAAGGAGTCAGATTAATTACCCTACTAATATTTTCCATATCTAGGGGAATAAAAAAATACTTTCCTCCTTAATTTGTATATTTACATAAAAATACATTTCTAACTTTGAGCGCTCTGGTTTTGCCAAAGCGTTACTGGACATTTTGGTGCACGAGCCAGGAAAATTTGCTTTCAAGTCTATCTACATGTAAACATGCTAAATGAAAACTCTGAAGTAGAGTTTCTAAAACTTCCCTGAAGCAGTAGTGAGCAAATAAATAAAACCAATTCAGTACAAACTGGTGCTGAAACGTACCGAGCATTTTATTGTGGAGACGCACAACTTGGTTATTAAATAAGTCACTTGGGCAGAAATACTACTAGAAGTTCTGTTAAGAAACACCTGTACTATATAGCATTTTAACATACCGCGTAACCTTACTCCTTGCTGCATTAAGGAAAGGCAACAGATGGCAGGAGACAGAAAAGAAACTCACCCAAGGTCGCAGAGTAGAGCACAGCACTGCTAGGAAAAAAAAAAACCACTGGTGTCTAGCCAGTGCGAGATTATACTTTTACTGCCTCCCACATCATAGCTCAGAGTAACAATAACACAAGTTACCAATCCCTGGATTCTAGAATCTTCAAGGGACTGGAGTTAGAACACACAGGGATCCAGGAGCTTCTGCCTTGTCTGCTGTTCTTTTCCTACGCACACTTTCATTTCTTAATAGGAAATTCCTAAAGAAAAGAGATTCAGCGATGTTATAAAATACCAGCACTTTTGGGGAAAGTATTTGACACAGACTGCTGTTACCACAGAGGAGAGTTTTGTGGTAGACAAGGTACTCCATTTTTCCCGTACAGCAGGTCATCTTCCGATGAAGAGATGTTTGGTTATAGCCTGCAACGCTCGCTCCTTAGAAATCTAGAAGGGAAATTTTGTTTACAGAGGACCTGAATGAGATCTGCAGAATTTGACAAAGAAAAGCTTTGCAGGCAGCCAGGAACGCAACCCACGATTAGAATAAATATCCTGTGATAGGGCTATACATTGTTCAGCGGAAATCCTTCTCTGTTTGCTGCTCCTGAGGTAAGCTTTAGTAAGCTGTGGAACTCAGCACATTGCCGGAGGATATATAAAAAGAACATGTACAGGTTAAAAAGTGACGGAACGCTCTAGGGTAGTTCCTGCACACATATCACAAATTCCCTCTTGAAGACTAAGGAAAGGGAGAAGGCAAGGGAAAAATATCCCAATTAGCTTAGCCAGCTTTTTTAAAATAAATAAATGTACCCAACAGTACTCCCTTGTTGGTATTTTCCTGAGAGGGGCTGTGTCCTGTAATCCAAAAATCTCCAAAGGCACACACAGAAAATTGTCATTTTAGCCACAGCAATCATCTCTAAGGCTTTTACCGTTCAGTCCATGATGTGAAAGAAAGTCTAAGACGTACAGGCCTTCTGTCACTTTGCCAGAAGATGCACACACACTTTGTTTTCCTCATTATAACTTCAGTTCATTTCAGAGGTTTCATCTAAGCCTCTAGAATTTCTCAAGCAACCTACAAAGCAAGCTTGAACAGTTTTCCTTGCAGTAACTTGGGAGCACCAGGATGACGTTAGCACTCATGAAAAGGCAGGTTTTCACTCTAGTTACTGGCAGTCTGCATCACCCTTTACTAAATCCGTTTCTAACGCACACCTCGCTTCCACCTTGGCAGTAAGTCAGTCACAGCAGGTGCCCTGAGGAAACCCTGCCTGTGAAAACAGACCAGACGGAACACAGTTCGACCAGAAACTTGAGCAAAAGTTTTTTGACATTCTTTAAGATATACTTAAACATCCGAGAAGAAATGTCTGCTCTTTAAAAAAAGGGAATTTTGGTATTTTTCTTTATACGAGCAATACAGAGCCTGACCAAACGTGTTGGCGTGCTGAGCCTCTGCCCTGTTTGTTTTCCCCTCCATCTCAGGTACGGCAACAACACTCAGAGCTACGCTGTGCGAGTCGGAGACTACCACACGCTGGTACCAGAAGAGTACGAGGAAGAAATAGGAGTGCAGCAGATTGTGATCCATAAAGAGTACAGGCCTGACAGCAGCGACTACGACATCGCGCTGGTGCGGCTGCAGGGGCCAGAGGAGCAGTGTGCCAGGTTCAGCACCCACGTCTTACCTGCCTGCTTGCCACTAAGGAGAGAGCGGCCGCACAAAACTGCTCCCAACTGCTACATCACGGGATGGGGTGACACAGGTAACAACCTTTTCGTGATTTCATTACCTGAAGCTGCTTTAAAACAAAAAAAGAAAAAAGGCAAACATGCAAAAAATCCCACACAGCAAGACCCAAATACTTAAAGAAGAAAATACTTAAAATGGAACAATTTCACTCTTCTTATATAGGTGCATATTTTCTCCCCTGATCCTTACACAAGAATGGCACCACTTTGTTTACTGAATTTTGTTTGCATTTGAAAAATGCCCATTAACCATGGCCCTCTCAACTACAGAACCAGTCAGTAAAATGGCCTCATTAAGACTGACAAGCACGAAGGAAAAGCTTATTTGTTGCAGGGCACACTCTACACAGCAGCTTATCCTCCCCTGCCTCAGGACATAGCAGCCAGCTCTAACCTATTTATGGTTTTAAAGGTAAGTACAATGAGTATTTTAGAAGGGCTCTTCAAATTGCACGACTTAATAGAAAAAAGGGTCCAAGATATACACGTGAGAAAATTGCAAATAACACCTTTAGTCTCCCTTGTTACCACTGACATTTTCAATCTGCAGTTAGATTTAAATAAGAGAACCTCTTGCCAAAATTTACAAGAGCCACAATGCAATCTGCAATCCAGGCTTCTGGAGAGCGTACCAGTCGCTGCTTGGGTCAGTACAAGGTTCTTCCTCTTCAAAGGTCTTTTTCTTTGAAATATTTTACAAATTAGTATGTTCTACTTTTGTGTTTTCACGGTGCTGAATGCCGCGCAAGACAGCAACCACACCTGGGCCTTTGTTCCCCTGCCTCATTCAAACTGGCAGGGAGACAAGCAAATTTGACTCTTTGCACGCACAAATCTGCCTGCACAGATGTCTGGGGCACCGCCCTACAACCAGGGAGACAGACTTGTAGGGCGGCGGTTTCTGCTAAAAACAATTGCCAATTCATTGCCTAGCTCTGTCTAGTTGTTACACAATTCAGTGCAAGCTCTGCAGTACTGTCTCCTTAGGAAAAAAGCACCTCTATTCCATATTTACAATATCTATATAGCATTTTGGGGTATTTAACACACAGTAGATTGTTTTCAGTATTTAGTCTTTTTTCAGTCGTTTTACTGAACGACAAAATATTGCAAAGGACTGACAGCAAAACCAGGATTAGCTCACATTTATGTTTCCACGAGACAATAATTTGCGTCCTCTTTCCAGGAAGGGCTTATTCGAGAATGTTACAACAGGCTGCCATCCCCTTACTTCCCAAGAGGGTATGCGAAGAGCGTTACAAAAGAAGGTTCACAGGAAGAATGCTCTGCGCTGGAAACGTCCAGCAACAGAAACGCGTTGACAGCTGTCAAGGGGACAGCGGGGGCCCCCTGATGTGTGAACGCCCAGGGGAAAGCTGGGCTGTGTACGGCGTCACCTCCTGGGGCTACGGCTGCGGGGTGAAAGATTCTCCAGGCGTCTACACAAAAGTGTCATCTTTTGTACCCTGGATAAAAAGCATGACCAAACTATGAAAGTCCGTAACGAAAACCCAACTTTTGTTAATAAAACTGGAGGCAGGACACCTTGAGCAGCACAGACAGCGCACAGCTGTAAACAGTTTCCCATTTCATGTGTTTTTCTTGTTGTTCAATCCAAGCTCTATATCCACAACCTTTCCAGTCAGGGATTACTATCCAAACAAAATCCCTGTGTGTTAAGGAAGTTAATGTATTGCATGAACAAGATACTGTTAAGATAAGGGGAAAAGTGATAGCTTAGGTAACGTTGGAGCAGGACAGCTGGAGCGTTCACTGGGAGATCCACTGCCCACAGGAAGACTCTAGTAGCCCCAAGATATTTGTGCTCCAAGCTTCTCTAGAATTACTTATGATCTCAAAATTAATCTTCCGTCTAGTTTATTTAATCAACTCCTGACTGTTTTCCTCTTCTTCCTACCATCTTAGCACTCAGCCTTCTAACTTGGACTTGTGTTTCCTTAGCTAACGAGACCGTTAGCAGGTTGATCCTTGCTAAGTAATTCTGAGCACGCATTACACGTCAGAAGGAAAATAACTGTCGGTCATCAGATCCCCCGCTATTCTGATAAACGTTCTCACAGCTTACTGTGCACTCCCTAGTAAAACAGGTAACACACTGGAAGTCAGCTTCCTCAAAAACGTCCCGCACAGCTGCAAAAGCAAGATAAAAACAAACGATCTCCTATTCTCTTTCCTCTAGATAAGTGTGATTTGTCCTGTTTCTGAAATGGATGATTTTTAGGACACGCAGCAGTTGAGAGAGAATCTGCTTTTCCTATTTACCACTAGCTGTCAGTAGAGGATCAGACTATCAGGAAAGCATCCCGATCCTCTGACTGCTGGTTTTGGAGGGGCTTTACTCAGGTAACACTGAGAACATCTGCAAATCCTAAACCAGAAAGTTTTAAGTGCATGCAATACAAATACTGGAGATGTTGGGCCAAAATTTGTCTGAAAAGGTCTGCCCTTGGCACAGGGGATGCAATCACCACCTCAGCGCAACACAACAGGAATTCGTCTTGAAAACCCCCCGATTAATTACAATTGAGAGAGAGAGCAAAGTTCAGTGCTACCTCTGCGGTCCCTGACAAAGGCCACCCTGCACGCCTGCTCTACATATCGCATCAAACCCACACTTCTTGAAGAAGCGAAAGCTCTGTGGGCCACGAAACACTCTGGCAGGTGTGTGTCACCACCTGGGGACTGTGCGGACTGTGACTACCTTGATTCCTGACCCCAGACACTGGCTGCTACAGCAGTGAGGAGCCTTTTGTGAGCCAAGTGGGACGCTCATGTTCCTGTTTTAAGTGGGCAGTCACTCCTTTCTGTACGGTTCTGGGTCTCTGATCCGTAACGAATAACCAGGACAACTGAATTTCCATTCAGAAGCAGCGATGATATTGCAGGGGCCCTTAATTTCCCTCAGACACCAAACTTAGTTTTCAAGGGTCAAAACTAATTTAAAGTATGTTGTTGGAACTGGTGCTAAACTAGTACATGAGGTGCTTTAATGTATTTTGAGTTTTCTGTAATTCCACACTACTTTAAAACGCGTAAAGTACTTTAAAATATGTCAAAAAACAAGAGTACTGTGACCACCTACTGCTAGACCTATATGAATCACTCTGCTAGCAAGGCTTAAAATCATTTAGGTTTCTGCTTACACACAGCCCTTTTAATTCAAGGCGAATTAAGTCTCTCAAAACGTATCTCCTTGTACCATCAAGCTTTGCTCTGCAAGATCCATTATTGTGAGACTCGTGAAGTAGACTACCTAGCGCAATACATGCATTGTGTACAGGGGAAATAATTATTTTTTTTTTGAAGTCGCACCACAGAAATAAGTTACTTTGGGCAGAGGGGAAATTCAAGTCTGTGTATTAAATGTAGCGAATGCTTAGATTTAGCGTAGCGGTTCATTAGTTTTGCTCTTTTTATGAACGCTTCATTAGATTTTGAAATGTTGCACTATCGTTTTCATGCAGGGAGCATGCCTTTTCAGTTGCTAATGTAAAATGGAATCGTCTTTATGTCGCTGTAATTTTTGTTCAATGATGATGTAAAGGTATACAATAAAAGCTGCCACACTGACTACGACTTCTACGCATTAATCCTGTGGAAAATGTACACGCAGATGCTACAAGAACACCAGCTCAGTAAACTTGATAGGAGTTTTCATAAGTGAAAAAAGGTGCTCCAGAAAAAACTTTTGTTTAAAGCATGTAAGCTCTGGGACAATTTTCAGAGATCGAGGTTTGTTCTGCTTGATGGAACCTCTAACGCTCCATGTGCTTAAACTTCAAGCAGCTGTCGTGAAGTTTATCCTACACCCTTAAAACTGCTTATGATTTTTTTTGCCCCTTGCCTCTCTCCTTTGTTCAAAACTTAATGCATGGGAGGTTGCAGAAGAAGCTGCTCTGCAGCCTACACTAAGGCTCTTTTGCATTAAGCAGGCTGGCCACAGTGTTAATGGTGGCCTAAAGCAGGAGTAAACTCAGCACCTGGCTTACCAGACAAGATGACCATCTTAAACACTGCATCTGATCTGTCCATGTTCCCCAATCCTTTAAAGAAGTCTAATTCGATAAACATCCCCTTAACTTCAAGTTTGCGTCCATTTTCCAGAAATTATACAAAGAGAACAGCGTTACTGCAACTTACACACAAAACCTCTTTAACAACCCTGAACAACTTCCCAAAGTGAAAGGGCACTTAGATGTGAACCGCAAGTAAACTAAGATCTCATTTTATAACCACTATATGCACAATATATCCTGACTGAAAAGTTTGAAAGGAAGGAGATACCTCTGCAGCAACGTGAAGAAAAACTGGGGTGGGGGTAGGTCGCAGAGGCTTTTGACAGTGGATCTAACTGCATATGGAACCAGGTGCAGATAAACAAGATGCATTTATAGAGGCAAGAGCTCGGGTAAAGCCCGAGCAGAGTCCCAGTGACAGCCCCAAAACACCAGAAGAGGAGCAGTGCCACGGCCAGCGGGGCTGGGGAAGACAACCTGTTCTGACGAGCAGTGCTCCTCTGCAGGCGGGAACAGGAGGCAGCGACTCCAGCAGCCCGGGCCAGGTGAGGAAGAGCCCTCGGCAATCCTCCAAGCACAGAAGCCACCGAGAGGCCCCCGGGCTCTGCTGAGGGGCCCTTGTACCCTGAGCACCATGGGAAGGAATGTCAGGATTAGTCCATTGGGATCACCTGCCCCATCGTCCCCTCCCGATGGGCAGAGCTGCCCCACTGCGATTGCAGAGAACTTCAGTCCTGGTCCTCTCCACCCAGGGCACTCTAAAAGCTTAAAAGCAGCTACATGAGAAGTCACTGCTTCTCCCTTGCTGCAGAGACCTCTGATTAAAAGCACGTGATTTCTGGAACATCTCCCAGACAATGCATTGCTCCCAGTTACCACTTCGCTCTGAAACCAGAGTGAGAAATACCAGCCCCGGCTACCAAAAGCGGGATCCCCAGAGCAGGCAGATAAGGCATGGACAAGTAATTCCACAGAACACATGCTGGTGTGTAGTCTTGGTCATCAGTAGTCTTGTAAGGAAGAAACAACACTTGCAGTCAAAAGTCTGTGTCTCTTTATTGACTTGTTCATACATTTAAATGCTTTACATCAGCATATATACTAAAATTATGACTGCAGATTTCAAATTCTAGACTTACCTTGAGCTTACGCAGTGCAGGTACGTTCCCTGAAACGGACAAACTTTCTCACACACTTCAGAAGAGCCACCACTGAATGTGCACGTGGCACTGGATTTAATAATAACTGCAGTACGGTCTGGTACATGACAGAGAGCAGCACAGCCACTTAAGAGCATGAGGATAATTTCTTTGGACTTGGTGAAGAGCAAAAAACAAACCAGTCATCCTAACTTGTATTCGTCTAGAAGCAGTCCAGGCTGACTTCAGACACAGTAAGCTCTAGTCCATCCCCCTTTTTGTAAAGATAAATTGAGTATATCCAAGTTTGAAGTTTTTATTGAAACACATCACTCCTCTTGAAATTCAAAAGCAAGATTAAGATCTGGCCTAAACTTCATTTGCTAGCTCTATTTAATAACCCGTACTATTATTGCTTGCAAAAGGCATCAGCTGGAGAAGATGAAAACTACAGTCACAGCTGCTCCTAGAACTTACATGTGGAATTTAACACCATCTTCTGTCCTCACAACTCAAGAGCGTTTTCCCCTGCAAAAACAAGTTTGAGGCAGTTTAATATCACTACTGGAAACACACAAGACAACAAACACGTCTGAACAATATGACACTCTCTCAGGAGCCGTGAACAGCTCTGAAACAAAGCTGTTAGCACCAACATGACCCTTAGCTCCGCTCCTGGAGTTGCAGGTTACTCTAAAGCAGAAACGTGCCTCTCGAAAAGGGCGCCCCCTTGCACAGACATCTCTGGTTTGGCCGGCACAGCTACTGGCGACGTGCATTTTATCACAACTCGCTCTCCCCAACAGATCCAACACACCTACACTCCGGCCCGGTTCTTTTTAGTCACGCTAACTCACGCATTCAGTGTAAACCCCCCCACAAACACAGCACGCCTCAAAACACCAGAATGCCAAGCCTCGATTCTGTTGCTGCGCCGTAGTTCTCCCCCCCGCCGATCCGTATGACTCCTGCCCCAAACCTCCCTCCTGAGGAACCATCACCCAACACAGGCCCAGTCACACAGTATTTTTTAGGGGTGGGCGATCTTCAACGGCAACACACGCGGCTCCGTACTTGCAGATTCTGTGCTCCTGATGGAAAAGAAAAAATAAAAATCACATAAGAAAGCCTTGGCTCCAACTGCGGTTAAAAACAAGAGAGGGAAAACAGAAAACAAACGG